AAAAACTGAAGAACCAGGTTCTCCGTTGTCATGGAGAAAATCTATCCATGTGATTGCTAAGAGTTGACAATTACTTTATAATCAATCAATCAATCAGTCAATCAATCAATCAATCAATCAATCAATCAATCAATCAATCAATGATTTTGGGTGCAATGGCAAACGTTTAAAATATTGTAAACTGAATCCATAACAGGAGAAACATTGTTGATATTTGTTACCAGAAAGCAAAAACTAGCAAATTGGAAAAAAAAAACCCTTTAGTAAGTGAAATTACATTTAAACAATAAATAAGTTATCTAATAATTGTGTGGACACAATATTTAGATTGTCCTCTACTTAACAACAGTTATTTGAAGGCAGTGTTTCTCCCTTCCCTTATTACCCCCTTTCACATATCCAAGAGGTAAAAGTTCGTCTTACCCACGTCGTGGTCTTGGTGTTGTGATCAATGAAAAAGGGTCTGCCATTAGGTGCTATTCGCATCTCCCAGCCAGGAGGTAAGAAACTTTGTGTCAATTTATGTTGTGGTTTTGGAGAATTATATGGAGATGGCTGAGGAGACTGTGGATTGGAAAGGGTGTCCTTCACAGCTCTTCGCACAGGAGAGTCCTTGAGAAGCCCCTAAAGGAAAGAGAAATTTTAAGAATTACAGCTATCACTTCGGAGTGTAATATGAATGACGATGAGCACCACGACCTACTCAGATCCAAAACCAAAATGATGGAAGATGTCTCCACCATTACAGAGCCTGGAAAAGAATTGTTTCGTCCTGTCTAATTACATTGTTATGAGTGTGCACAAAATATTATTTATTTTAAGCTAGCTAGGTTTTAATCCCAGTTATTAGACCACTCCTCCCAGTCCAAGAAGTGGGCTTGTCACAGGACTGAACAGGAAGTCTCCATATACCCAATGACAAAGTTGTACTCTTCTGCCTGTATTTCTGATATATCTGGGTCTAAAAGCAGTGAAGCTGCTGGCTCTGTAGAACTGACCCTGGGAAGTCCATGGTCATGGGCTGGTGTTGATGCTCCAGATAGAACCACCTTCTCACCCCATTACTGTCAGGCCTGATCCCAGGCCATTTCCTTGTGCTAAGCTTGCAGATTCTGCCACCCCACCCCATGTTTGGAGACTCCCTCCACCTGAGGAACCCTGGAAGGGCGAGGGAGCAAGACTATGACAGCCTGGACATGGAGCTTTGATTTCCTCTCAGCCTAAAGCCTAAGCAAGGCTGAGTGAATGGGAGCAGGCAAATGGGTAAGAGCAGGACCTGGCCTGGTCCTAATGGTGCCTCGAGTGCAGGGGCCCCTTGGCCTGTCCTACCTGAGCGTGGAGGCCTTCTCAGTCTAAGAGAAGTTCTAGTACGTGGTGCCTGGAGAGACTGTCAAGCTCTGCCTGCTTCCAACCATCATTATTTTGCTTCACATAGGCACTATTACTCTGGGCTCTGTCCGTCTATCTAGGTCACCTTTGTCCCACTTGTACCCACTGAAATGGCAGGGAAAATGTAGCTTCCTTTTGGGGTAGTCCTTTCAACTGAATGACACATATCCCGTCAGGAAAGGTTTACTCTTTCCTAAATACTGTTATGGGCCACTGAAAATGATTCAGTGACTTTGAGTCATTTGTGCTAAACTTTCTCTTCCATTCCTGGTGGTTATTAATTAATGCAAGGTTAAAATACTATGATTTCAATCCTGTACCCAGTATCTTGCATATATGTTTATACTTTTAAGGCTTCAGTCCTACACATACTTTCCATAGATGGCAATGAAACTTCCTAAATTATTAGAACATTATTTGAACATTTTCCCCTGTTCTGGCTATCATTCACACCAATTTGGTATTATACAAATTAGGAATGTTGGTTAGGAACCAATAGGATTTAAGTTCTAATGATGGGGAAGCATCAGCCTCTTGGATATTTGGTTGCCCTGTTCTGTACCTTGTATTCTACAATACAAGTAGTCCTTGCTTAATGACCTTAGTTCAGCGACCATTTGAAGTTATGATAGCACTGAACGAATGGCAGCTATGACTGGTCCTCAGAGTTGCAGCATCCCTGAGGTCATGTAATCAAAATTTGGGCACTTGGCAGCCGACCTGTATTTATGACCGCAGCATGCGCTTCAACTGCCCCCACCCGCCCATCTCCCCACCCATCTCTGCACTTTTGGTTGCCCTGCACTCTGCTACCACTCCCTGAGGCCTTTGCATGGCCTTGCGAGACCTCCCCAATGTGACACAAGGCCTCCCTGAGGCAGGGACTCATGCGGCCTTCCAAAGGGCCAGCAGCTGCCTCGGTGGAGTGTGCTTCATCAGCAGTGGGAGAAAGATGTTGAACATCAGCTGGGGGCGGTGGAGTGCATGGCGGTCACATGGGCAGAGATGGGGGGATATTTATTTATTTATTATTATTATTAAATTTCTCCCCCGCCCATCTCCCCCCAATGGGGGACTCTGGGTGACTTACAAAAAACATTAAAACCATAAATATATATAAGACACATAATACATCTAAAATATAGGCAGGTGGGGGGAGCTGAAGCAGAGGCAAGCGTGGCAGGGCAGGAGAAATGTGAGGTCCTCGCCAAACGACGGCAGCCAGGACTACTGGAACTGCTGTCACTCAGTCATGTGATGTTTCGCCTAATGACCGCTTTGCTCAGTGACAGAAATTCTGGTCCCAATTAGGGTCGTTAAGCAAGGACAACCTGTACCTTCTTTTGAGGCTGTTGAACAGTCCTGCATACAAAATTCTGAGTCCAGTTGCACCATGTATTTGTAAAAGCATTTCATTTTTTACCCCTTTACCAATGATTCCCACACATTTTTAGACATATAACTGGGTTTTAAGTCCTGCCAAGTTTTTCACTAGAAGTCAAGATCCCTGTTCCTTGTTGGCCACCACCAGCTCAAATGCCATCACATGAAATTTGGATTCCTCTCACCTTCTATATGCATGTATCACTTCACATATGCTTATGCTGAACTGTATTTGCCACTTTAATACAATTTTTCCAGTATGAAGAGTCCCTTTTTGTTGCATACGAGATAGCAAAGAAGTCATAAGATCATCTGCTCTACAGAAGTGGTGGGATAAATGACTTTTCTAAAACAAAGAAGTCTCTCTCTCTCTCTCTCTCTCCCCTTCTCTCTCTCCCCCAGCCATTTTCTTTTCCTGCTAGGTTAGACATGTAGTACCCAGCCTCCACCAGGAGGATTCTACAACTATACAAAATACTAGTCATGGAAGTTGAAAGCTCAGAGAAGGGAATCAAACAATCCAACAATTCCTGAGCTGGATGGGTTTATCAATCAATCAACCAACTAATCAACTTGCATGCTACCTCAATCACGAAGTGACTCTAGGAGTTTTACAGCATAAGATTAAAACATCAAGTTATAAAGAAAAACAGGACCAAAGTCAGTAGGTGGCACACATTGGGGAAGGGTAATTATTATTATTATTAGAATTAAACAAACATTCCACATCAACCACCATGAGGGGTGCTATATCCTACCAAGGGCATGTCACAAGAGCCAGGTTTTTACTGCTTTATGAAAGCACAACAGGACTGGGGCCATGTCAACCTCAGGGGGGAACCCTATTCCACAGGGACTGCATCATAAAGCTACTAGAAATCAAGTCCTAGCTTATCAAGCAAGTGGAAATAAGCAAGTATATTTAAAATATAAAACATCAAATGTGAAACACGATACTCTGAACTGAAATACACACACAAAGCACTGAAATGTGAAGAGCATTTCTAATACAATGTGCTTACAAGATGCGAAGGAATACTCAAAGGAGCACATTACCTATTGGAAGATGAATGCACTAAGGGTGAAAGCAATTCAATCTTAAATTGTTAAATGTGGAAAACTGGTCAGGATAAGCAAGTGTAATATTACAAAATAAAGACAGGTACAAACATGCCTGGGGTACAAACAAGACATTGTAAAGCTGGCTGGAGAACAGAAATGGTGAGGAGAATTAATGAGATGGAAAGAATGAAAATCCAGGAGGCAAACAAGCCTGGTTTGGGGGAGAGAACTTCTCACCTCAAGTGGTGCAGATAGTGTAACTGTGGGAGAACTGAGGCTACGAGGCCGTCTTATCTGAGGCTCGCTTAGATGGTTGTTACTGTTTGATGTTGACCCAGAAGCACCATCTTCAGCAAGCTATATTAGAGGCAAACACAAGTTAGCTACAAGTTATGACCTCCTTTACTGAAAACTAAACTAGGGAATAATAAAGTATGTCCAAACTGGACAAATCATAATTAACACCCCCCACCCACTCCCGCTTTCAATGAAGCATTCCAATGTAGGCAACATACTATAATTGGAACAATCTTCTATATGCAGCCCAATATACTTATATTAGGGGCATTTTTGAATGAGTGTTTTCTCAAACGAGAGGTGAATGATTGTTGTCTTCTGCATGTCTCACAGAAGCTTCTATCTAGAAACTCATTCATGTCCTTGTGCTTGAACCAGTCTCTGGTTTATAAATCAAGATTGTGAAAAACCTTCAGTTATGTACTGCTACCTATGCATTCCCTTAACCGGTGTAAGTTCCTGCGTGTTTATGTAATCTGTTTCCAGCAGCTTCCTCTATACTAAATTACTAGCCTATGCATCGTTCCATTTTCCTGGATAAATCATCTACATTTTATTTCACTTTATTTCTTGACTTAAGAAGTTCACTGGCATTGATGTTAATTGCAGATAGCCAAGGAAATACGAGAATGAATAAGTTTAAATCAAGATATGAAAAGGATTACTTTAGATGGAGATTAGAAAATCCTGTTTAATTTGATCTCATGTTTAATGCTGCTAAACTGTAATTAAGGAGCAGATTTACTCCGGGGAGGTGGGGGTGCAGTTTGGACCTAGCTCCCAGTTTGCTAATTGCAATTAACAATGTTATAGCCCCAGGAAATTGCAATTTCACTCACTGCAAACTGACTAGAGCTTCATTGAAGCAAGCAGGAAAAGAGAAATCTGCTTTTAATCACCTAGTTTTAAGTCAGAACATGGTGTTGCACTGGCCCATTTCCCCCCTTAATGCAAGTGTGGATGTTCAGGGTGGGCCTGCGTTACAGTGCAGATCTCCCAAAGTTTGATGTACATGGAATCTGGCATTGGCCTGTGCCACAGCAGATTCTGCCATAGCTGATGCACATCTTTTCGCTGAGAGGCAATTATTTCACCAGAAACTGTCCTCCCCCATAGTTTTCATCCTGGAGTCTGAAAGAGCTGCAAATGATTTATCAAGGTCCCACTGCTTTGTTGGAGAAGAAGTCCATACCTGCATGATAGGCCGAGTCCAAGTTGTGGTGCGATTGTTATGATTGACGTAATAAGTACGTCCCTTAGCATCTTTTCTCTCTTCCCAGCCTGAAGGTAAGCCCGGTGTAGTATGAACATAGGCCACTGATGGCTGTTTATGCAAGAAATTACCATAGTGTTACTTTGTGGCAGTTGGTCATTCTTACAATCAGCACTGTATTTGCAACAGAACAACTGAGCGGTATGTGTTGGCCGACCCCTTCCTTAAAAGGGTCACTTTCAGAAAAATAAAGATTCAGTTCCATTCCCAACAGCAGGGTTAGCAAATGCATAAGTAAACAGCAAGGCACTGAAATTCACAGAGGCTGTCAATGCTAGTTTGACAGGGGTGATCGCCACTTTATCTCTGCTGAAGATGAGATCTGTTCATTAAAGGTAGACAATCAAAAGAGCAGAAGAATATAAAAAGCCTGAACATAATCAATGCACGAGTACTAGGAGAACTGAGAACAAAGACGGTTAGAAAAGCTTTTATACTTTAAATGATGAAAAATTGACTTCATTTGCTTCACTAAAATGGTACCAGTCAGACAGAAATGGTCCCTGGTGGTTTACTCTAAATGACTTTGGCTGGGTCACAAGCTGTGTAGTCGTCATTTCAAAGACATTAGTTTGTAACTAAACTGACGGGCTCATTATGTTGCTTAATATATGGAAGTCCTGATACTTTGAACATTTTCTTTAAAACTTCCTGCTAATAGCTGCATCCCCTTTGAGCTGAACTTCGATGTCATGAAATCTGAGTTCTGTTAGGAAGAACTGTCCTGTAATGATCAACCTTGGAATCTGAGATTCTCATCATGCAACATTTTACCGCTGAGTTTGCACACTGAACCCAGAAATAACTGCAATATTGAGAACCTGGGCATTCTTTATATTGACAAACAGCCTGCTGTGAGATTCTGCCTGGACAAGCACAATAAATCATGTAAACGTGTATCACTGCATGCAGTGTAGGAGCTCTGTATTTGTATACACTCAGAGATGGGTACATATTTCATGAGCACACCTACACACGTCCATGCATACATTTATTTTTTTTTAGAATTGAATGAAACAGACGGGAGCCAGGGAGAGCTTCTGATTAAAATTGAACAATCTTTAAAAGTACCAAAGAATGTTTGTAGTTTTTACTACAATAAGCTAAAACATGGTTACTTGTGTAGATTATAAAAGGTTATAAAAAGATACTCCCCTTTCTTCCTCTGATTTTAAATGTTACTTTGCAATTTTGACAAACCCATTTTCCATTACTCTCTGATTCAAAGAGTCACTGCTATAAAATAATAGCAGGCCAAGCAGATTATTAAAGTTTATGGTCTTTCTAGGGAAGGAAAGACATCTTGAAATAATGTCCTCAGTCACGAAACAACAAAAATTACCATTTTTTTACATAGTGATGCACTGATACGTATTTGCTGGAATGAAAAGAAACATTTTAAACTCCTTTTTAAAAAGTAGCTAAGGAGAAATATTTCCTGGTTTGTAACAACATGGAATTCATTTAAAATGAGAACGAGGATCATTGCATAGATCTGAGATGAAAAAGCCAGGAAAATGGGTTATTCAGCGACATCAAGTATATTAATAGAACAATGCCAGAGTGGGTAAAATAAATTTGAAAGCCAAACGAACTTTATTCTCAGGTGGCATCTCATTTTATGCGTAGACTTTTGTTCTAAACATGGCTCCCCTGACTTGAAAAAAACCCTTTATATTCACTTTTTGCAGATGGCAAAGGATTCCTGGGGTGTTCTGGGGCCACAGGATGCTCTAGATCTCTTCCTTCTGTCTCAAAGCAGGATGCCCTGTGCTGGGAACTTCCCTGATGCATCGTGACCATTGTTACCTAGCTGATGAGTGTGCTCCAACGGTAGTGGATTAGGAATAGGGAGTGCTGGAGATACAGATTTGTTCACCATCACTGAGCAATTAGAGGATAACCTGTGAGTGCATTCTGCTTGTATAGTACGAATTATCACAACGTTACTGTTCTTTTCTTCTAGACTATGAAAATCTTTCTAAAAGCCCAACAATGGAATTTGGTATTACAATTTTGCAAATTCTATCTATCTATCTATCTATCTATCTATCTATCTATCTATCTATCTATCTATCTATCTCTATCTTCTTAAAAAGTATTAGACTTGGCATGAGGCAGGAAGTTACAAAACCCATTTAACTGGGTGTATCCCAAAATAGCCTGAACAGACTTTTAAAAGAAAAAGGTGCCAAGATACAACAGGGGTTCTTCCTGATTGTTTTCTATTTCTCCCTCAACTTGAGCTATAATTTTTACTCCAGATTCTAACATCAGTATAAATTTTGTAAATTTAGAACCTTCTTTTTGTGCAGGAAAGCCCTTCCCCATCAAATGATCTTCTCTGATGGGTGCTAGCTGTGGAATCCACCGTAAATTGATCCACAGTCGATTCATCCAATTGTATCAGATAACAATGCATAGCAGCTGCAAAGTCAGAAATATTCTATGCAGGAAAATTGTCTAGATTTAGCTGACATTTCAAAATATATAGTTTTAAATGTTGATAAGGCCTCAACAAACTGATTAGGAGAGGAAAGAAACAATCCCTCTTGGAATAAAATAATTATTTGCTATTCAAATAAGAGACTTTTCATAGAGTGTTCCCCCCCCCCAATCCATGGGATAAAAAGAGTGAAAACAGTAAAGCTACATTTTAATAACAAGACATTTCTCCTGATTCCTTCTATTATCATTACTCCTCCTTTATCTTCCAATTTATAAGCAAAAATAGATAATGAGGAAACTGCCTCCCTTTCTTCTTGGCATCTATATTCCTGAAGAACCACCACTGGAATTAATTTTCATTACTTGTATTGGCTGTTTGTGTCTTACCTGTGGACATCTTTTGGATTTTTCCAATCATTTGATTTATAGGTTTGGAGTCTGGAAAATAAGGCTGTGCAAAGCGTTGGAAGTAGATGGTTTGCAACACCTGCTAGCACAAATGAAGCATCTCTCTCCAAATAATTAAAGCAGTCTTTTTTGTTTGTTTTTTGGTGAGGCTCATATGATTTCTTTGAAAGAAGTTCATGTTTGCCTTCATGTGTGTGTGCATGCAAAGCTACTTTGCTTTGCTGCTGGTCCCCACAGAAGTGCTGAGGGATGTGCTTGCATGCACAGAGAAGTTCAGACAACCCACAACAAGCAGTTATGCTTTTTGCAAGAAACATGGCTGGTTTAACAATCCAAAGAAGGGTGCTTGGTTTGCACTAATACATGTTGCAAACCACCCCTTTCAAATGCTTTGCACAACTTTACTGGTAAAGGCCAAGTAGATTTCTTCCAAAAGAATCTTCTATCCCTTTCTGTTGTCTACAAATTGACATTCCCATTTATGTTGTAATTATCCAGTCCTACTTTGCAATATTCTCTGCGTGATTCAAATGAGAAGAACTCACACAGGTGCATCCCCACTACACAGAAGTCAGCGATGGGATAATTACTTGCTTATTAGGATAATCTACAGATTGTGGGGAGTACGTTCTACTCTACCTCTAAATTTTCTGCATGTATGCACACATGGACAACTCCCTGCCTTTCAGCTATTTCTCCTTCAACATAAGAAGGAATTGGGAAGCAACATTTTAATAAACTTCCCAAATGCCATAGTTAGGGGCAGGGAAGAGAACTGGCTGTCGTTAGTAACATCATGGGAAATATCAAAGTATATGCTGAGGATGTTTCCATCGCAAGAGTGTTGGCTGAAGTAGCTGAACAATTACAGGAGAGACTCAAGTTGGGTGAATGGTGGGAAGAAGCAATTTATTTCACTACTGAGTTATGGAAGTGTGGTATCTGCAGAGTTGCACATGTAGAGAAACTTCCAGACTGTGCACACTCACAATCTAAAAGCAGAGGCATCTCCAGCAAACCACAACGAGGCCAAAATGACAAGAGGTGTGAGGTGATGCCATCATCCAAATGCCATACCTGCCCACTTGCCCTCCAATGTCTGATGCAGGTATTTTCATTATGACGTCACATATGTTTTGTCACTTGTCCCACCTACCCCTGACACTCCTACCTGAAAGACTGATATTCCGACAACAAAGGAAAAAGAAAAGGAGAAAGGTCAGAATGGCAGAGGAGGAAGATATATATTTGGCTGGATAAAAGTATTATTACCGTTGACTCTTCACCCCCAGTGACAGTGGAAGAACGAACTCTCCTAGAAGGGCCACTCGGCTGTTAAATAATAATAATTGTTATAGTTAAGGGATGATCATGTCATACATCGTTATCTTCAGGAAAGAGAAGGAAAAAAAAAACCCCTCTCCTTTTACATTTGGGTAAAACACTTCATTAACTTTACAAGAAAGGAAAGAACCTATGTGACAGTATAATTAAGTGAAAGTATTACTAATTTTACAGTATTATATCTTTCACCATGTACTAATTTGAAATAATGGGATCTTGATAAACATTTCTGTCTTCATTTTACACCAGAGCTAACAGCAGCATGTAAGGTCAATTCCGGAAATAGATGTTTTATATATATGCTTTTAGCCACGTCATTCATGTTCATTACACACTAGGGCCCACCAGATATGTTGAGACTGCGAATTACAGAATTTCTTGCCACCATGCTGGGTGGATAAAATGATAGCTGCAGACCCAATATATATGGTAGGCACCAGAAAGAGGAAGGCAATGTGTTAATGATCATTAATTTTTTCCCCTGGAGAGGATACAAAGATATCACCTACAACAGAAGTGTGAACAATTAAATGAAGCAGGTTTGATTTGGCCACAGCAAATGCATAGGTTTCAGCAGAGCCAAGCTGAAAAAGAAGAATGGTGTGGATGATTTTACCAGAAAAAATCATAATAGAGTGCAGGAGAGCAGGGGAAAAACCTTAGCTGCTAAAAGGAGAAAAACGCTGTGTAGTTTGTTACAGCTCAATCACATATAGAAATCCCAGATTAAAATAATTAAGAGTATATTCTTGCCCATGAAATATGCCACAGGTTAGTGTGAAACTTTGGTAGAATACATCCTTGTAGAAACAAGACTTCAGATACAGTAACTGAACAGAACATACTGCAGTATAATTTTCACGTGGGTTACGGTGAGAGAGGACATAATTGAGGATTACAACAGAGCACATAATCAAGAGACCTAATTTAGAGTTGCCCAAGACTGACATGTAGCAGAGAGTTATTCAAGTTTGCACAGAAAGAGGGATGCGTAAATATTTGTTTGGTCCATATTTGAAGTGAACCAGCCTTATCTTTTCTATCTAGGACAACATCTGGTCTGCTTTAGATGTTGGATTACAACATATATCAATCCCAGTTAGTATGAACAACAATGTACAACAATGAAATGGCTGGTCTAGGCTGGCTCATGGATTACTCTATTGTTATTATAGTTATTTTGTATTGTAGCTCTGGACTCCAATGTTACCAAATCCCAACCCTAGTCCAAAGTTACCAAAAGCATATAAAAATATGTATTTCAGGATAAAATACACATAGCAATAACTATTTCTTGATAAAATACTTTGAAAATACATATACTGAAATTTCATATGGTTTTTTTTAAAAAAAAATAACTAGAGTGGAAAAGCTCTTTTCAAGAGTGACACACATGTCTCAAATGCATCCCTAAATAAAAGGGAAACAGGAGAGAATGGATTTGCAAATGAACTCATGCAAAAATGACACCAGCAAGCTGTTCAACTGGGCTTATTTCCAGGTATGGTTTTCTCCTAGTAAGCTAGAATTTATTTTATCTTTTGTTTTCAAAATCAGCTTGATGGTTATGTATGGGGGAGAAAGGGGCATTCCCTAAAATATGCCCACCCTGTCATTATGTGACCTGGGGGAAAAAAAATCTAGTCCCCCAAATAAAGTGTGGTACCTCCAAACTCAGGTGGAATAAAGCACAATAACTGGTGTTTATTTTAGAAGGAGAAAAAGGAACTTTCAGGTGGATCAGCAATTTAAACAATTCTTTAAATAGCAAAAAAAAGTATTGTGTATGTAAGGAGTATGTAAGATTAAAAAAAAAAATTATGTTTAGATGGTTTCAGTCCCTTGATCAGCTGTACAGTAAGTTTGGCAGAAAAAAAAAAGGTTGCAACGTTTAGTGCTGCTCTTTAGAAATGCTCTCATCTTTCTGCCTCTTCGCAAACTCCCTGATCAATCTCCCCTTTCCTTATAAACTCTCTCTTAATCTCTTGAGACATTTCCCTCTTGAGATCACATCCTAAGAGCCCCTCTCTCACAGACTCATAATTTTTGAAAAAATACTCTAGCTTTGCAGACATGACCACAGACTACTTTAAAATCACTAATCCAGAATGGCCTTCATTCACAGACATGATCAGATGGCTGACCTTCTCTGCACTTGGAAGCTAAGCAGGAGTGTGCCTGGTTCATACTTGGATGGGAGAAATATCAGGAAATGCCAGTTCTGTAGGCTGGACTGGGAAGCTGGAAAAGAATCCCAGAAGCAACAATGGCAGACTACTGCTTTACCATGGTCAAGAAAAGTAGATAGCTGGTTTCAGGTAGCCACCAGGAGTTGGAGCTCAACTCGAGGGCAACTTTCTTAAAAAAAATTATTTACACACATGGAAATAGATCTATTGTAATAAGGAAACAGACATACTCATGCATCCCAGAATTCAAGTAGACTGTGACATTCTGTATTATATATCAAATCACCACCCAAATGGAAAAGCACCAGCCCTAAATTTCAAGGATGCTTGAGATCCTCTGAGCCCATGTACCAAAATGATGATATTACAGTCACAAACATGACTTCTCCAACCAGTACAAAGGACATTTTTGATATGTATTTACTGAAGTTAACCTTCTTCTTTGTTAACCTCTCTTTCCCAGAACCTGGGTGCGGTGTCATTTTGCCCTGGGGAAGTAGGCATTAATATATGAGTGAAACTGAAATGATATCCATAGCAAAAAAATGTTATACCTTTAAAACAGAAGTTGATAACACAAATGCATTGCTGAAGATTCCTAAAAAAATAAGAAATAAAAAATTCTACTTACCAGTGATAAATGGGACTGCTCAGCAACTGCATCAGTTACACTACAAGATCGCAACCTTGCAGAAGGGTCTCTTTGCTGGAATACAGAAAACAGAAAGGATTATTTTATTTATAGTGTGACCGCCATTTTTCCCTGGCACCATGTATTACTTTACCCTTCTTTCAGCCACTCGATTTGATTGCCAGAAATCTTACTCTCCATTTCATGAACAAAAACCATGACGTCAATTTTAAAACCAGAAATATGTATTTTTTTAAAAAATTGCATAAATTAATATAGTAGGAAGGAGCCAGTGTGGAAAAGAAGATAATGGTACCATTTCTGGAAATTTAGTTTCCTCAATCCTGGACAGACAATTGATAGGACAAAATAAATGTGGAAAACTGTTCATGAGTGAAATTAAAACAAAAACAAAAACTTTATTTCATGAAAATCCACTGTCTCTCGTCTTCAACACTTCCATTTATTATTTGGGGAACAATTATGAGTTTACAGATTTCCTCAGGATAGTTAAGAAAAATAACTTAAAAACTTTTGAAGCATCTTCTGAAAAAATTCTTGCAAGATTGGTGAAAATACTCTTGTCTTTCAAGAGTATTTCACTAGAGTTAAATAACTTAAGTTAAATAACGTATTTTTTTCATGCAGTCTTGTGTTTTCTTACTAGTAACAGCAATCCTCCTATTTTTCATAATGGAACACTTAAATTCTATATCGAATAAATCCATTTACAAAGGAACAACTCTCAGAACAATACTGAGCAATTACTTGTTGCAGAAAGTGCTGCAGCACTTATAACAACATCTTAAACCCTTTCTTTATTGTAAAACTGGATATGTTGGTATTAAAGCACCCATATAACCAGGTTCCAGAAGAATCAGAATACCTTCTACTTCCTGGTTGATAAAAGAAAATATTTTTCTGCTTTTGCCTGGGCCATACCAAGTATACTATTTTTAGCTTAGGAATTAATTATTGGACCTTTATTGGACCAAGAAAAACTCATAATGCCAATACAATTCTTTCGTATGGGTAGGGTAAACAATGCCGGAAAGACTTCTAAGGCAACAAAGAGAGAAGATAACTATGAATTCTTTGTTACATTAACTAGGGTCAAAGTTGCTCCTTGGGTTTCAAGGAGTATCTGAATTATTTTTTATCCAACCCTTTTAGAGAAGATGAAGCCTACTTGTAAATAATGATGATTATATAGACAAGCTACATGTCAGTCAAAAACACAACAGAGTTATCAGTCTGTTTTGCTTTGTCTGACACTCACAGAATTCACCTGATCAGGAAGACAGTCTGTACATGATTTATACATTTCAGGAAAATTTACATCAGTCATAATAATTTATGATCCCCATGTAATTCACTACTATCAGATATCTATTAGAATAAGTTCATTGAAAGCATATTCTAAATCCTACCTCCAATTGTTGTTTTTTTTTTAATGGACACATGGATAGGAATATCCATTTCAGTAGGACTTCACAGCCCTCAGATAACAAAGCAATCTTTTACTGAATTTTTTTCTCTGAGCTTAATATCTATATTTGTTGAGGGCTTGGCTTGACAGCCAGATAAAATGTGAGACTGATCTCTTAGGAAAAAGCAGAAATAAGCCTTCACAGAGTACACAGATTTTTTTCATGTTAATAGGGGCACAATGCAACATCAACAAAAGCAAAATGGAGATTTAGGAATGTGAAATTTATTTTGATAGATTTCAGTTGAAACAATTCATATTACTGGAAAGCTAAACAAAATAGATAATGGGTAAAAATTGAATTTGCTCTTGATTCTCCATTAGTCAAAACTATTATAAACCCATAATCACAACTATCATTAGAAGCTTGGTTATGGAAACATATTTTCATTTCACTATTCAAATGCAAGGATAAATTTGTTCCATTAAGTGTTTGTCACAGAAAGAACACAGGCAAATTCCAATGTGGTTCATATTAAGTAGAGTCTATTCTTCATAAATCATAAATTATTTGAATAGTTGCATGATTATTATTTTTTTAATCATAAGGAACTTTCACCAATTTTATATAAAGAATTTATAATCATACATGGACATTGTTTATTATTGATATTAATCTTTGTTTTCCTGATAGATTATGCCATCAACAAAAATGTAATTTTGGGTTTTTATTCTATTCAACTGTATCTGCATTAATATTTTATACTTCCTTTTTAATATATTTTTTCTTCTTTAGCATGGATTGTGTATTTTTGTTGTTTCATAATATTTAATTTTGTAGAGATGTTGTTTAGTTTTATTTTTTCCCACTTTGGGGTTAAAAAAATTCTTTTCTATACTTTGGTTTCTTATTATCTGAATGTTAAAAGGCAAGCTGATAAGGTGTCCTGTTAAATTTATATATGGCAATTTCTTTTTTAATATATTTTTATTAAAGTTTATATATATAAAAACTAATACAGAACTAAAAAACCTACAAACAAAAAGAAAAGAGAAAAGAGAAAGAAATATAAAAGATGACTCCCCCTCCCTCCAAACAAGTATATGTATTAACAGTAATTTAACATCATCCTAATATTACTAAAAAAAAAAAAACTTTCATCCCCTTTCTCATCCCTAAACAATAACCAAATGATAAAAAAAATTCAACAATCAATCTAATCAGCAAAAGCATTAAGAGTGCTAGTAATAATAAACTATATATTTTAAGCTTAAACAAATATGTCTATTTTGCATTTTAGCTTCTAAGTTTTTTCTGAGAAATGAAACTTGAAGGATCTCTCCCCTTAAGTATATAAAAGACTGATAATAATCACGTATGTGTTTTAAACTAAACCATATAAATCACTTTTACAGGTATAGATCATCGTCTTACAGTCCTGGTTAGAAATAGAAGATTCAATATTAACAATCCAAGATCAAAACATGGAGAATTTAAGCTTGATCTGATAAATCCACTTCAAATTCCTTTCTTTTCTTTTTGAAAAGCTCAGTCTTCAGCCTCTTCTCCAAGTAAAATCCCAAATAACAATCTCTTATTCTCTTCCTATCTATTTTCAGAAAAGGTTTCAGAGATTTGGTATTTCCCTTCTGTATAACCAAAATAGGATAATTCTCAAAGTCACTCTTTTGGTCTGTTACAGCTTCTTTCTCCATATCATTCTCATA